CTGAATGACAATATGGTGCTTGGAAGAGCTAATAGTCTCTTTAAACCTTAGCAAAACTGAGTAAAGAGGCATAAGTCCAAAGGCTGCTTGCTAATGCTGCTGGCTATAAAGCAGAAAAACCAGAAGTAGATCTACAGACCTGCAGTTCAGAGACAAAGAAAATTGGAGTTGGTTATTGTACAACTGTTGGGATAGGATCCCTGCCAAGATAAGCACTTACCAAAGGAAGACTTTCTCTTTGGTCAGCTCACTGAGCTTCTGTGAGGCCTCCCAATTCTCATTCTCGAAATTCTGCAGGTCTGACATGACCTGCTGATGTTCCATCTTGAGCTTTTCATAGAAAGGATTTGGCCTGTGGTAGGGCCTGGACTCAGAAGCAAAGAATTCTATGAATACAGGCCTCAAGGATCACATGAATTCAGTGTGTGTTCTATAATACTGGATTTAATGAGATGCCACAGCCTGGCTCCTATGTACTGGGACCTCTGGCTGCTTATTACAGTTGCTCTTCTGGTCCCAGGCCAGCAGAGGAAGGGTGTTAAGAGGGATGCAGCTGGGACTGAATGAGCTCCCTCAGGAGTCCTGCACAGCTTTCTATGGAGTTCCCACGAGTCTATCACAGCTCTGGGCCCACCAGAAACTGTGATGTTTCTGCTGTCTTCAAATAAGAGATTCTCATTCCAGGGTGCCTATATTGACATGAAGGCTAAAATCACATCATGAACATTTCTGAGGTTGGGATGCAATATCCTGATAGCTTCATAAATTCCCCCAGGGCATTCCTAATTGGCATCAAGGTGAACAGACTGGCAAAGGGCTATGCTGCTCAAAATGGGGCTCCGAGTCCACAACAGAGAGCACACCTAGATACTGATAAGCAACTCTTCACGGTCAACCACAGACCACTGATTGCAGGGTGAAGAGGGACACATATGCACAAACACACAAACACATAGACAAGATAGAGGGATAAGAAAGAGAGACACATAGAGACATAGAGAGTATCAGGGAGGGGAGGGAG